CTATGTTAAAAACATGTTGAAAGATAAAAAATAATACACAAATTAATTTTATGTAAAATTTGGTTTCCAGAAAATTTACCACACTTGATTGATGACTTGTTGCTATGACAGAAAGTTTATTCTAATTGTGAGTAAAAACAATGTTTGCATTTTTTTGTCAATCAAAACTTTATTAAAGATGTTTGCAAATGGAATGTTTTATAGTCAATAAAAAAAATTAAAAATATTATATAAAAATAAAATTAATTACTGTAAGTTACAATTTCTCAAAGGTTTTCAGTTTCCATTAAATGTTCGCATAAATGACTGTGAGTAATAGCAAATATTTTGCTCGAAATATCTCAACGTAAATAACCTGGGAACTCGGACAAACCGTGCTAATAATTCCGGATAGGCGCCTAAAAGTCTCAATAAACTAAATAAACTCAAAAGTCAAATAATAAAACTGCATATCGATGCAAAAAACCATACCATAAATATTTACAGTGTATGAGTGAAGAATTTGTTGAATAAATATATATTTCATGTATTTGAATAACTAATTTATTTTTTGTTTACATATTTATTATGTATTCCCATAGAAAATAAACCTATCTTAACCTTTGCATTTACACCAGTGATAACCTTTGTAAAATATTTGTTATTATTTTGACGAAATAGATTACAACTAGTAAATATGATTCACTGATAAATAACTATTTATGTTTATCAAATAAATAAAGAAGTAAGTACTGCATTTACTTGATTAATTATTTAATCACTACATTTATTTGAATATTTTAATAACTTAGCAACCACAGATCAATCATAAAAATCTAAATAAAACTTTTGTACAAAAATGATTAACTAACGATCGAAAATAAACCAATATTTTGCTCAAAAAATGTTTTGTGCATTTATTTACTAATTTTTAATATCTATAATTCACTAAAGAGTTTTTGTAATTTAGGTAATGATATTTAACAATATCTTAAATATATAATGTTGACGCCACTAAATTTTCACAATTTTACTAAAATGTTAAATATTTCGTAATCTATTTGTTTTTATCCTCCAATAGTCACGTGCATCATATAAATGCATATATCAAAAATATTCAAATATATAAGTAGGTATTACATAGCTTAAAATAAAAAAAGTAAATTCAAATATTCCTCTCATAAAAAATAAATATTATTTTCCGACATAATTTTTTTATTTCTGTGGTTCTGCACGATCCGCAATCTTTTCCTCTCTCGACTTTCGTCGTATAATCAACTCATCTTATTGAAATGAAATGAAAAGTTTTCGTGCTCAGAAGTACGTATAAAACCTGTTTTTGCATTCAATACCATGTAATTTATTTTTATTTATTTTTTGATATATTATTTTTGAAATTTGTTCTCGCATTCGAAGAATAATAAGATTTTTAGATATATAAGGCGAAGGAAACAAGGAAATTTTCAAAGAAATTAATATAGTTGACAAAGTAGTAGGCAGTAGTAGGTATAAAAAATGTTTATATACACGATTTTGTGTAAAACTAATTTGGAAAAATACAATATTTTAACTGCAAGAAATTTATCAAAAAATATAAAAAATATATTTATTAATATGAGGCGCCAAATTAAACACAATGTAATAAAACTGTAGAAAATCAGATATTTATGATGAGAAAATATTCACGTCTATTGTAAATACGCGTCGTTATGTAACAAGCTAATGCATTCATACAAATAATTCATAACTACTGTGTATTGATTAAACTTGACAAAAACAATGCAATACTCACTCTTATGAAAGATCCAAACACAATCGTTTATTCAACTCGAACATGCGCCTTGACTATTTAGTTAAACTCACAAAAAACTGCAATACTCACTTATTACGCACAGTAATGAAAAAGCCAAACACTAGTATTTTAGATACTAAACATAAAACTATCCTGATTTTTCGAGACATCGAACATGCGACGTAAGCGACCCGGGTGCATTCACGGCGCCCGGGTCGGTTCGCCTTTGTTTTAGTCCCTACCAAAAGCAGGAACGAAATGACCGAATTACTTCGACCACATCCATAATATCAACAAGCATAGGTCAACCATGCTGCCTTGTATAGATAAGAACTTCGGTTGGAAAACAAAATATCGATATTGTAGATACATCTGCCCTCTGGTTGAAGTATTTGGTTTTAATACCCATCTATAATATTGTTTTGAAAACAC